GTTCAGATACCGTGCTGCTTGGGCAAGGAGTGGCCTGCGTAAACTCTCAAAGCATATAATAAAATTATTTGGACTTTCTTTATCAGAAAATAATTTTATTACTCCAGTGTTCTCAAATAATGCAACACAGTGTTGAGCACGCAACAGTTGCCCAATGAAAGTTTACTGACCAGATTAACCAGTAAAATGGCTGTAGGGAAAAGGAGAACTGGATTATTCCCAGCTCTATAAACAGTCTGAAACTTGGAGGAAATGAGTCAATTCCTCCAGGTCTTCACTGCCCTGCTCTGCGGATTATAGCCTCTGTGAGTCGAAGGTCCCTGGGATTCTCGTAGTGCTGTGACTCCATGGTTCCGATTAACCTGATCTGTAACCACTTCACGTTGGCTATCAATGTCATAGAAGGGAAATAAGAAAGGTTGGCTTCTAGTGTCACTTTGTCTACCAATTAGCATTTTAAGGTAGCTCAAATCATTTAATTTCCCTGGGATTCCACCTATAGAAGCCTTTTTCAGACAACAACTCTGTGATTCCATTACAATGGCATACCAAGTTACATTCTTTGCTTATTCATATTATCATTTCTGATGTTTTTCAGGGAAAAAAATGGCCCAAAATATTATCAAAATTACTTTTAAATATTTTAACTGTCCATTCATTAAACAATATAGTTTTATGTTCATTTATTTCTGTCAAGTGTAAATTTATCTCAAATGTCTAATCAGTGTTTATTATCAGTTCCTTTATTAAAAATTGGTAATGTTAGTTACTATTTTATTTAGAAAAAATATCTTTGACTCCATGGGACTACTATGCTCAGAGAGTCACACTAATTATAAAATGCTTCACCCATAACTTAGAAAAGCCTCATAGAGAAATTTCAGAAAGTTCAAGCTAAGCTACAAGACTTTGATTTGCCCTCTAGAAGTAAAAATGTGATTTACCTTTTCAAATGAAACAGACTTGTTATCAGCAAATATTTACACAAAGACCTGCTGATAACCAAATGGTTTAACTAGCCAGACTTTAAGTGACAAACCCAGCATGATAAGAATCTGTAGATAAGGAAATGAATAAAGGTATACTGACTGTATGCCGCATGCATTTATATTTGAATGGATGGGGATTCATCTGTCCATTCATTCATTCAGTAAGCATTCATGGAATTCTGCTAGGTACTAGATACCTGTTAACTGGGGATGAGAAAGTGGTAAGACATGATAAGACATGGCCCTTTCCCAGAAGATATTCCCAATCTAAGAGACAGTACAAATGTGTCAATAAGAATAGTGCCCTTATGAGTTCTATACTAGAAGTATATACAACACGAAAGGAAAGAGAGTGTAACTACAGGCCCAGAAATAAGAAATAATAGATTTAGATCCCCCCCAACAAGAATGACAGGTGTTGGAATCAGACACACAATGTAGCTATGTGTAAAACAGTAAAGGAGAAGGATATAATTATAAACATGAGCATACAATAGAAAGAACTCTACAGACTGGAGAAAAATAAGATTTTTAAAACTGTAAAGTTGAATTATTGATATCTGAAACTCAGTAAACTATTGAGCATATACAGTAAAGAAAGAAAAGAAAATAGAACAGAAGAAAGCAGCTTGTGATAGAGAATGCAAGGGCCTAAAAGTGTATAATCAAAGTAACAGAACAAGGGGATGTTAAGCAGTTTCCTGGCCTCTGCCTGATGCAAATCTGATGCAAATACCACCCTCTTCCCTCAGCTGTGAAAATTAATGTCTTCAGACATTACCAAATGTCTCTGAGGCACAAAATCACTCCAGTTGAGAATCACTACCATAAAAAACATATGAGAAACAAATTACTGGCCTATTTCACTTATGGTTATGAATGTAAAAATCCTAAAAATAATTGCAAATTGGATTTAATAGCAAATGAAATATTAAATCCAGTTGAATTTTTTTCCTGAAATGCAAAGATGATTATATATACGAAAAGCTATAAGATTATAGTCCATGTTGACACATTAAAGAAAAACCCTATGTCCTTTCATAAATATATATGTATCTGTGTCTGTACATACATGTATATACATGCACACACCATATACTAGGGTGTCCACTAGTAGGCGGTTCTTTCTCCTCTGTATTTCCCTTTTTAATTTACACCTTATAGTAACCAACCTGCCGTGTGAATTAGAAACCATGCTTTAAGTTCAGCGCTATGCATGAGAAAAAGGGATCCCACGTAACTGAGCTAATCAGAAGCCTTCTCCACAAGTTTATAGATCTTTAGAGAAAAGATTAAAAAAGTAAGAATAGCTAACAATGCCATTTACAAATGTTTCATTTCCATTGAAAAGTAGACTCCAGATTTATTTTAATAGTACAACAAATGTTTACTATGTTGATCTGTATTTTATTTCATTTTATTTTATTATTTTGTTTTATTTTTTAATAATAAAAGATGGGAAAATATTTATTAATGAAGTGCTAAAAGATCTGTATTTTAAAAAGCAATTCCAAGAAGTTACATTCAACTTATATTAATGCAAAAAAAAAAGTGTTTTCAAATGATTAATTCTATATCTGTAGCATTCAATACAATGGTTTTTGAAACCAGCCCTTACTGTTAGCATCCAGTAAATAAATATGAATGACTCATTAATGAACTCCCATGAATTGAAATGCTCATTTGCAGTGGCTTTAGAATGCACCCAATTTCAAAATGACCTCTATTATTTTTTATTTAATTATTTATGTAAATGAATCTGAGATCACGGTATGTTCTACAATCCAGCAAGCTGGTTCTCTAACATCACTATGTCTACCAGCCATTTAAGGAAATGAATAGGAAAAGATTATGAGATGTAAGGAGACTGTGAGCTGGTTCTTTACTCTGGAGGATGTTGCACTCCAAACCACCATCCCCAGAGCTACATCTCACTAAGTAGGAAGTCAGTGTTAGCTCAGGGTCACACTCTTGATTCTCACAAATCCTGACCTCCCTCTTACTCAGTCTGTGCAAAAGCACATGGGTTAAGTGAAACCATGGAAATCACTTCTCTAAATGTTTTGACGATTATATGAAGAGCAACTAACTTCAATTAAATATGAGATAATTGCAGGTAAATGAATTAGGGGGTACAAAGTGTATCATGACTTATTAGCCTAATAGTTATTATAAACATAATTGCAATAGTTATACCTACCACCAGCTAATTGGTGCTAATAAAGTGCTGGGCACTTCAAATATATCTATAATAAGGATGATGGTGATAACAATACTCAACTGAAAGAAACAAAGAGATTGCTGCCTGTCAGGGAACGGAAGGGTCATGACAAGAAATATTCTCATCATGTAGTCCATGCTGTCTTCAGCAGTCACTGTCCCACTTTTCATTAGGACACCATGGGGCCCTTCAGTCCTCCTGTTCTGGGATATTGAATCAACAGCGAGAACACCACTGACAGATAATCTCAGCAGTAATAAAGATTTAAAGGAACCTGGGTAAATTTAGGGCTTGCCTTTATTAATTTACACTCTCCAGGGCAGAGGACCTTGCTTGGGGTGTGGGCTATTTCAGGAGAGCCCAAAGGCAGTTGCCTTTGAATATCTGCCTGCTTACCTGGGGCCTTTCTTGTCGCTGCCTGCCAGAATTTGCCAGAAGGGACTGAGCCACACTGCTTCCTGAGAATTTGATAAATCCTCCAACCTACTCATACCTACAGCTTGTCTTGCCTTGGCAGTCCCAGTCAAACCCACAGCCTCAGCCCCACTTGCCTTCAGCTGGATGTTCTTTGTTTATTTTGTTTTCTCCTACTAACTTACTCACATATGGCCCATCGGAAATAGACATTGTCACAGGTAAAAAATGAGGAGGATTTTTAAATCAGTGAGAAAACATAGTTAGAATAAATACACTTCTAAGAGATCTAAAAAAATGCTTTAGCATTTTAGTAATATGATAGATGGGGGGGGGAATCAGAAAGGATAGTAATAAGACATCCTATAGCGTTCCTTTTAACTTGAATATCTCTCCTTAGAGAATAAGAAAAGAGACCAGTCTCTGGCCCCCATTATATTCCCAATATGGGCAGTAACTGAATTTATAAATGGGAGTAAAATTCATAGTTATCATCTGAACACCGACTATATACCACCCACTATGCTAAATGCTTTAGACGCATTATCTTATTTAATCCCATGGCAACTTTTGTGATTTTACAAAGTACCATTATCCCAAATATAGATGAGAGAAGAGTCTTAGCAAGACTGAATAAAATTCATAGGGCTACCTAAACTGTTAAGTGAGAGACTGAGACTCCAATCCAGGTCTCTTTGAATCCAGTGCATTTAACTCCATGCTATAATGCCGTAGAATAACATTCTGTAAGGTTTGGGCTGATGTTTCAATCTTTGCCTCTTATCGGTAAACTCCTTCAGGGCAGAATTTATCTCTTATTAATTTCTATATTCTCAGAATATGGAATAATGCCTGTTACAGAGCAGGAACTCAATGATTGTCAAATGAACCAAATGATGAATTAATAAATAAAAAAAGGCAGGAATCAATTTTAAAAGGAGACAGTAAATTGAAGTTTGTGAAAAAAGCTAATTCTGCGCCAAGAATACTATCCTGTTGTTGGTTTGGTGCCCTACCATTTCCACTGTCCCAACATATGAGTATTTTATGATAAGCACCATTTTTACTTTAGAATTAAATGAAATGCTTTCAAAAATATGTACTTTACCCAGGGATTTAAATGAACGATTGAAATTCCATAATCAGAACATGACACAACCAAGAAAGCGTATAATCATATGTTTCCTATAATAAGCTACTTGAAGTGTTCTTAGGGTTACAATTTTGTAATCTAGACATGAGAGGAAGATCTCTGCTCTTGACAACATTCAACACAGGCAATTCAACTGGCTTTGGATAAAAGACAAACCCCCTCTTTTGCATTACATAGATGTTCTCTCTTTCCTTATCTGTAAGCGGACAGTCCTAACCATTACCTTTACATCCTCTGCCATCTTTCTCCAGCTTCTGGCAAGCTTGACTCTTGCAGTAGTAACTGCCAATTGTATCGTGGCATTGGTTCTGACAGACACCATTGTCAATGGTACATTCATTTATATCTGCAATTGAATATTTAAACAGAATTAGCCTCCTCTAACCAGACACATAAAAAGACTTCAGTGGCTCTCTTAAAAATGGACCATAACAGAATGACTTTATTCCTTGACCTCAGATTAAATGACATAACACTACAATATCTTACTTTAATTAGAACTAAGGTACTCTAATTTTGACGTAAAGGAAAAGGCAGGTCGTAGCCTTTGGCACTTAAAATATTTTTGAACAGTGTACTAAGGAGTTGTTTAGTCTTACGGAATTTGGAGACTTACAATATACGTCCAGAAATTTCATATTCAAGTCATCATTTGATGAGTCACGCACAGTGAGTCAGAACACTAGGTTGCCTATTTGTCCATTAAGTAAAGGCTGTTACTGGCTTCTCAAATAAATAACTATTGAGCACCCCCGCTATATATCTGGCATTGTGCTGGGCAGGGTGGTAGAGGTAGAAACATAGTTCCAAGGTTTCCAGTGGTTAAAATCCAGGTGCGGTTGAGGACCACAGAGAAGTGTGATTTGGTTGCGTCCATATACTGGATATGTCCACACTCCATTCTAAACCTGCGGCCAGAGCCTATCTTTACAGATGTCTCCCCCCCATCTGGCTTAGAGGTAATAAGCATCCCAACATGTCTGTAGATCTGAGAATGGTGTGTCCTGCTCACAAGAGGCTGCTCTCCTCCATGTTCCCTAACTGACCTACTAAATCTTTGCCTCAGGAGATGAGTGTGGCTGGAAGAGAGAGAGGGTAGAAAGGGCAGGAAGGAAGTGGGGAGGAGCAGGTAAAAATGGGAGAGAGACAGAAGGAAAATGTGTTCGTCCGAAAGAGCAGAAGAAGCTGACAGAGTAGAATCACAGAAAGAGAAGGGCTGAGTGGTCCTGACTGCGGAACTATGAGGACAGGGCACTGATACTGGAGGAGCGAAGAACTGACAGGCAGAGTGAGCTGTGGTGCTTCCTGACTGGATGTTACGGTCTGAGGCATGGTTGTGCAGGTGTTGAGACCGCTTTTATTTGTTTTTAGGTACTTTTTATTGAAATGTGCCATAGACACAGAAAAATATATAAATCCTAAGTATACTATTGGGTGAGTTTTTCAGATATAGAATAAACCAATGTAACCACACTGAAGAGAACATTACCCTGCCTGGCTGAAGGTAGCAATGAGCGCAATCTTTAATCACTAGGGGTTACAGGTTTTGTCTTTTTGAACTATATAAGCAGAATCATACTGTATTTGTGTCTGCGTTGTGTGGCTTCTTTTTTTAAAAGGACTTTATTTATTTATTTGAGACAGAGAGAGAGCAAGCACAAGCAGGGGGAGGCAGAGAGAGAGGGAGCAGTAGACTCCTTGCTGAACAGGGAGCCCAACATGGGGCTTGATCCCAGGACCTTGGGATCATGACCCGAGCCAAAGGCAGACACTTAACCTCCTGAGCCACCCAGGTGCCTCTGTGTCTGGTGTCTTTCAGCATTCTGCTTCTGAGATATACCCATGTTGTTGCATACACTTGCAGTTTGTTCATTCTCATTCCTGTATATTATACAATTCTATAAATACACCATAATTTTAATTGACCCATTTCATAGCTGATGAGATATTGGATATTTTCTTATTTGGGGGTTAAGAGTGCCGTTATAAACATTCTCAGAACTGTCTTCAGTGAACTCACGTGTGCACTTCTGTTGAGTAATATATCTAGGACTGGAATTGCTAGGTCAAAAAGTATGATATGCTTGGCTTTAGTAGTTATAGCCACATAGTCTTCTAAAGAAGTTAGGATCTAAGTTATACTCTCACCAATGGTATATTAGATACCAGATGCTACTCATGCATCCCTGCCAACATCTGGGATAGTCTCTTCTGTTTTGTTTTATTTTTACTCTTCTGGGAGAGTGCATAATATTATCATTTTATAATCTGTAATTTGCATTTTCTTGATGACTAGTTAGTTTAAGCACATTTTCATGTTATTGGGCATTTAGATAACATCTTGTTGAAGTGCTGGTTCAAATATTTTGTCCATTTGTCCAGTTCTTAAATTATTGGTTACTTTACTAAGGGGTAAGATAGAATGTTAAATAGCAGTAGTAGTAATGATCATCTTTGCCTTGCTTCTGAATGCAGAAGGATTTTTTTTTTTTTTAACATTTCAATGTTAAGTATGATGTCTACATAGTTGGGGTTTTTTAATAGATTAGTTTTATCAGATTAAAGGATAGGGTTTTTTTAACATTTCACTGTTAAATATGATGTGCACATAGCTGAGATTTTTTTTATAGACAAGTTTTATCAGTTTAAGAAATGTCCTTTCTACCCCTAGTTTCTTTACTATTTGTATTATAAATAGATGTTAAGTTTTATTTACTAATTTTTCTGAATCTATAAAGATAGTTATATGGTTTTTCTTGTTCATTCTGTTAATGCAATAGATAAAGCTGATTGATTTTTGTATCCCTGAAGTAGAGGTGGTCATGATACAGTGACTTTTTAATGTATATCTGGATTCAGTTAGCTAATATTTTGTTTAGAATTCTTGAGATTATATTTATGAGAGAGACTTGTCTATATTTTTTATTTCTTGTAATGTCCTTGTTAGATTTTGGCATCCAGATCATACTAGATACGTAAAACAACTGGGAAAGGTTTTTCCTCTTCTATTCTCTGAGATAATCTATATAAGATTGTTATCGTTTCTTACTTAAATGTTCAGAAGAGTTCATTTGTGATTCCATCTGGGCCTGAGATTATGATTGTGTACTTATGCGTATGTGTGTATGTGTGTGTGTGCACAGTTTTTAATTACAGATTCAGTTTCTTTAGTAAATATAAGAATATTCAGATTTTTATTTAAACATGTAGAAAAATTATGTGTTTCAAGGGGTTTGTCCTTATCATGTAAATGTTCAAATATATTGCTGTTAAGTTGTTCATAATAGTCTCACACTATCTTTTTAATGTCTAATTTGTAGTGAGATCCCCTTTCTTATTCCTGAAATAAGTGTGTGTCTTCTCTTTTATTTTTGATCAGTTTTGGTATCTATCTATCTATCTATCTTTATCTTTAAAAAACAAATTTTTGGCTTTATTGGTTTTTCAGTATTCCACATTTTTCCACTTAATTACGTTAGCACTGTGATCGCTATCATTGCCTTCCTTCTACTTTCTTTAGATTTCTTTCACTGCTCTGCTTCTAAGTTGTTGAGATGGAAATTTATATCATTTATTTTTAGACTTTCTTCTTTTAAAATATTTCTGGTTATCTACGAGTGGGTAACAAACCAGTCCCAAATTCATTTAAAAAGGCAATTGACTGGGGTGCCTGGGTGGCTCAGTTAGTTAAATGTCTGACTCTTGATCTCAGCTTGGGTCTGGATCTCAGAGTCATGAGTTTAGGTGTAGGTATTAAGGAGGGCACGTATTGCATGGAACACTGAGTGTGGTGCATAAATAATGAATCGTGGAACACTAAAAAAATAAAATAAAATTAAAAACAACAACAAAAAGAAAGCAGAAAGAAAAAAAAGGCAATCTACTGTTATCTTTCACATTTCTGAGGACTGACGGACTCCGTTTGATGGTCTTCATTTGGGATTTCAAGTATGGTAGCAGTCAAGTGACAGTCAGGGTTAAGCTTACATAAGGCCTTTTAACTCATATGTTGGGACTGGGGCTGAGATGGTTGGAATATTTGCGTGGTTGGTGGGGCATTGATATCTCTCTCCACGTGCCCAAATTTGACTTTCTCACTAAATGGTGGTCTAAAGGTAGAGACATTTTACAAGGTGGTTATCATTCCTCAGTGAGACTTTCTAAGAGTTCCAAACAGAAGCTACAAAGCTCCTTATGACATAATCTTTGAAGTACATCGGATTGTTTCTTAGATATCTTTTGGTTAAAGCAGTCACAGGCCAGCTGAGATTCTAGGATGTGGAGAAATTCCTTCCCACAATGTGGGAATTGCCGTGTCCAGGAAAGAAAGAAATTGATGGCAGCCTTCTTGGACAGAGCATATCACAGTAATACAAATTTTCCTAAAAATAAATTATTAGCTGCATCCCACAGGTTTTCTTTTGTTATAATGTGTCATCACTCAATTCAAAATATTTCCTAATCTACCTTAACCCTTCTTTGGGTTATTTCAAGGTACATTTTGAAGGTTTTTCAAACATTTGTGGCATTTCCAATTATCTTGTTCGTATAAAACACTGTATCAATTTGGCCGGCTACATGACTTCAATTCTTCAAAACTTGTTAAGGTTTGCTTTATATTCCAGCATATTGTCAATTTTGGTTAAAACAAAAAAATCTCTGTTTACTGGAAAATAAGATCTATTCTACAATTCTCAGATGCTACGTTTTCTCTAAATATATATGCAATAGACATATTACATGTATATACGTATTTTATATACATATTTCAAATATGTACAAATATGTATATTTAATGAGTTCGAGTTTATTAATCATGTTTTTCATATCATTGTATCATTGTATCCTTAAGGACTTTTTTATATGTTTATTGTATCGGTTAGTACAATCTACGTGATTTTATGTTTGCCCTTTTATGACTACAAGTTGTGTTTTATATATTTTGAAGCTCTATTGTAAGTGACATACAAATTTAGAATTGCCACATCTTCTTAGCAAATTAATGCTTTGTTATTTTAAAGTGCTCTTCTTTAGATACAGCTATATTTCTTTCATTAAAGTTGAGGTTTAATGATATTGGTATAGCTTTATAAGTTTTCTTTTGGTTTGTGTTTGCATGACATTTTATGCTCTAAACTTTTAACTTTTTCTATATGCATATATTCAAGAAACTATATCCATATATTTATATTTGTCTATATGTGTTATTTTAAATATTCCAATATCCTTAAGCTGTGATATTATATCATTGACTTTAATGTAATTACTGACATATTTGGATTAAAGTTATCATTTTACTATTTTTCTAAATTTCTATATATATATTTTTTTTTAAAGATTTTATTTATTTATTTGACAGACAGAGATTACAAGTAGGCAGAGAAGCAGTCAGAGAGAGGAGGAAGCAGGCTCCCTGCTGAGCAGAGAGCCCAATGTGGGGCTCAATTCCAGGACCCTGGGATCATGACCTGAGCTGAAAGCAGAGGCTTTAACCCACTGAGCCACCCAGGCGCCCCCAAATTTCTATATATTTTATGTTACTTTTGCTCTCTACTACTTTGTCCTCTTAAATTTATTATTTTACTGTTCTATTTGCACTCTATATTAGATTGTCAGTTATACATCCTTTATTATTCTTTGAGTAGTTACTCTAGATATTAAAACATCTATTATTAAATTCTAATATAAATTAGTACTTTAACCACTTCCCTGGCAATGCTAGAATTTATATTTTAACTCCATTTATGCTTTTCCTGCTTTTATGTTATTGCTATCATGGTTTTTAATTTCAGATCTTTAGACCCCATAACACCTATTATTATTTTATATAGTCAATAATGTGGTGTGTAAACAATGAATTTTGGAACAATGAAAAAAAATTAATTTAATTTAATTTAAAAAATAACTTAGAGATCCATATATTTATCTTTTCTGCTATTCATTACTACTTTCTGCACTTCTATGCTTCTTTCTCGAGTAATGTTCCCTCTGCCTGAAAATTGCTTTTAGTGTCTTTTCATGTGGATCTTCTGGGTTTTTGTTTTTGTTTTTTTTTCAGATTTTGTTTGTCAGGAACTGATATGCTTTTACTTTAATTTTTAAATAAACTTTTATAAAACTTTAGAATAGTTTTAGATTTTGCAGAAAAAAACTACAAAGATAGTACAGAGGGCAAAAGATAGTACAGGCAGCTTCTCAGTGAAGCTCACTGCTACTTCCAGCAACAGGCTCCTGCCCACTATCCCTGCCAGCAGCACCTCTGAAAAGCTTTATGCCATCCTGTGGGCCATAGTCACACCCTCACCAAGATCTGAATTTCAGCCTGGTGGATG